ACTCATGGGCTGCAGAGAAGCGCCAGCAAGACACTCCATTTGGTAGGGCTATAAGCAACCAAAATGGACTGATTGGATATCTGGACATTCAGAGAACTTTCTGCAATTTTCATTTGACTTTTTCTGCCCTTTTTTTTTAATTGGCCCCTTCTCCTCCCTCACATTCTCTTCACCTCAATGTCAGTCCACAGCTGCCCTTCTTAGCCTCTTCTCACCTGTACCCTTTCATTCCTCCTGCCCCCCAAATAATCGTGGAACTTACATGAGGTTTGCTACCATCACATTGTCCATTCTGCACATATGTTCTCCTTCTCCTATACTATGTCTGTCTAGTCTTCTTAGAATGTCAGCTCTTTGTGGCAGAAACCATCTACAACTCATGTCTGTGCAGCACTTAACACAGGGGGGCCCCACTCTCGGTTGGCACTACCATAATAAACATGTGAAATACAATGAAAACACAACCACTCATTTGTACACCCTACCGACTGCATACATGTTCTGTTTGAGCTTTAGCTGGTGTGCAGAGGGGGAAAAAATAGTTGGCTATCAACTTATAGTTGCTAGTAGACTCAACACTGTTTCAAAGTCCTTAACAAATATTCTGGTTTTTTTTTCATGTCTACAGAAAGCTCAGTGGAAAAATGCTGCAACAGTGGTAATGAATGGGCAAGTCAAAAAAGACACTGCAGATCTCTGCCATTTATTTCTGACTCCAAAGAATGCAGGTATGTTATTTTTTAATCTGAATTGTCGAAAACGATGTAGACAGGCATCAGAGCTAGTTGGAAAATAAAAAATTGTTTATGAAAGTTTTTTACTATAAAGTTTTGTTTTCCAAGGTGAATGTTCAACCCAAACAAAATTTTCTATATTTTCAGTTTTGTTTAGCTTTGAAATAATATTTGAAAAACGTACTCTTTAACATTCCTTTATAATCTTCCTACTTTTTCCATCTGGAAAATATCCCCAAAAAGTGGAAATATTATTATACTGTCCCCTTTTTCCAGTGGTTTAAAAATAAATAAATATCGTGTGTGTGTGTGTGGGGGGGGGCGGTGGGTGGGGGTGGGGGGTGGGGGGGGGGGGGTCAGGGAAGGGTATGGAGATTAAAAATAAAAAGGGAAGGGAGGGGGAAAAAAATTGGCAATCCAGAAACTTTAAATGACAAACTTAAATTCTTTGGCCCCTAAAAATCGGGGTCGGGGTGGGGGGGGATGTCACTTAAATTTGAACTTTAAAAAAAAATGTTTTGAATTTTCTTGTCAGAAAAAACGATAAATTGTAACATTCCCTCCAACCTTCATTTTTCTCCTGGAAAACTTTTTCTGTTTTTGTTTTGTTTTGTTTGTTTAGTTTAAAAAAATTAAGCACTTCTAGCAGGAGAGATAAAGCAAACCAGGTCAGAGGTCTTGTTTTAAAAATATTGGATTATGACACTAGAAAACTATTGGTTCAGTTCCCAACTATACCAGATCTTAGCTAGCTATATAAGTCTCTCTGCGTTGCCGTTCCCCATCTGTAATACGGAGATGATAACCCGTGATGAAATGTTATGGAGATAAATCTGCTAGAGTTTGTGAGGTGCACAGACACTGATGATGGAGAGATGAGGAAAATGTCTAGATAAATTAAAGTCTATATGTTAACAGGCGATTGGGAGGTTTGCAGATTTCTTGGTGTACAGCTTGTTCTGGAATCACATCTTGTATTACTGAAAAAATGTTTGTGGCAGTACTGATATTCAGGTAGTATATTTTAACACTTTGCTAACATGGAATGGACTCTGCTCATCAGAGAACATGGATGTGTACAGTTAATCTCATTATGGTCGTCATCCCTAACTACTGTATGCAGATTCCTGCATTCTGGTTTGCTGATACCATTTAAGACGGCTGTTCACTTTTTCACAGCAAATATGGCCACTATCATCCTAATACAGTTGGCTGGAGGATGTTACCTATTAATGTATTCACTTTTATCTGAGCAGAAAGCTTTTAGTTTTATGGCAATTTGTTAATATCTTTTAAATAGTGAAACATATTTTTTAAAAGGGCCTCAACTGATGTAAATTGGTATTGCTTCATAAAGTTCAATGTAGGATTCATGCCAGTTGAGAATTTGGCCTGATAACAATAGAAATTCTTGGATACCAGTCAGCCAGGGACAGTAACCATATTTTACCCAATTTCCACAGCATAGTAAGAGCAAGGAAATTTCTGTATATCCTGTTTAGTTATCTATTGGTTATATGCCTAAATAGGAGAGAATTAATAATAGTATTGGAGAAGCTAAAATTCCCAGGAAAAATGTCTTTTAGCTATATTTCCTTATGTATAAAAAGAGCCATTAAGTATAAGGATTAATAAATCTCCTACTTCTGTTGAAATTAAGGAAGTACTATTTTCCTATTACAGGCAGTCCCCAAGTTACATGGATCCGACTTATGTCGGATCTGCACTTACGAACGGGACTTTTTTCACCCCGGAACTCGCGGGCGGCAGGAGCACCCAGACGCGCAGTGGTTCTGCCACTGCGTCCTCCGGGGCGAGAAAAGCTGCTCTGGGTGTCCCTGGTCTGCTGGGGGGGTCCCCAGCAGACCAGGGACACCCCGAGCAGACCAGGGACACCTGGAGCAAAGCCGCAGAGGCGGCGGGGTCCTGCACCTCCAAGGCTTTGCTCCGGAGACCAGGCTTTTGTTGTGGACACCTGGGGTAGAGCAGCTGGGGGGCTGGGGGCCTGGGG